ATTTATTTATTTGACAGAGAGAGATCACAAGCAGGCAGAGAGGCAGGCAGAGAGAGAGGAGGAAGCAGGCTCCCTGCTGAGCAAAGAGCCCGATGCGGGGTTCGATCCCAGGACCCTGAGATCATGACCTGAGCCGAAGGCAGCGGCTTAACCCACTGAGCCACCCAGGCGCCCCCACTTTTTATAAAACAGATGGAAATGTGTGGATAAGTAATCATCTTTATCAGACTTTATTAGTAAAGATGGCGTCAATAGAGAAAAAAATTCCATCTTTGTAACTAACGACTGATAAATCATTTACCTTTAGGTCAATGTACTATATCACTCTGAAGTCATTAAATTAAGAAGCCATTCATTTTTAGAATTGGATTTGCTTATTAGTTCATTGTTTAGAATTATAATTGCAGTATTAGGATAGATAATAATCTGATTTTCATATTTCAGAAAAATTAACCACCAAAACTTAGATGTTGAGCCTTTGGATTCTTCTTTTGCTTTCCATTTTAAACTTTAAGATCTTTACAGACTTCATAAAAGCAGTAGGAGACTTTCATGATGATACTTTGATTTTAGACAACCACAGGAGGCTAGCTTTTTAAGAATACTGCCTTTAAAGGAGTCTCAAGCATCCTTGTCCTTGATTTGTGCAATGTTTGGATGGGAAAATGCAGCAGGCAAAAAGATCATTTACTGCAGGCCAGTCAGTAGAACAGCAGAGAGAGAGATCCAGGTTTAATTTGACTTAATTTAGTTTAATGTATTAATTAAACTACATGATAGCTTTAGAAAGAACTTTATACCACTTAGGTGCGTACTCTAAAGACCTTCTGCTGAACTGGACATTCTCGCCAAATCTGTAACCATTTTAAGTGAGAGAGATTAGACCTCAAGCCACACTATTCAGTAAGTCCACTTCATTGGTACTCCACTTACCAATCTCTACTTTTAACTAACATGTCAGCAAACACAGTGGCCAGGAACTGTTGCACTATCAGGTAAGTCAAATACCAATGAACAATTAAAACATGTATTTGTGTGTATATACATATACATATATCTTTTTTACTCTGCCATAAGACTCCCAATCTTCATTATGCCTGCATTACGCATTCACTGAAATGAAACATAATCCAAAAAATATAAAGTGACATTATATTTTTATAGGGCTTTGCAGCTTACAATGTATTTTTACATGAGCTACCTTATTGCTATGATGTCAAATTTATCAGTATTTCTTTTCTCAGCCTTCAGTCCTACATTTTTTAAAAAATAAATTTTTACAACTCACTTACATACTGTATCCTGCCAATGAGTAAAGCCCACTAGAGGAAACATGACTATGCGTGGAGTTCTTGAATGAAGCATGCATCTTTGAAGTATCGGTTTACTTCCTTACTAGCTAGTGGCCCTCAGTTTTTCTTGTTTTAAATGTTGGGGTTATATTTGCAATGACGTGGTTGGAACTAGAGTATATTATGCGAAGAGAACTAACTCAATCAGAGAAAGACAAATACCATATGATTTCACTCATGTGTGGAATTTAAGAAACAAAGAGATGAACATCGGGGAAGGAAAAAAGAGAGAGAGAGAAGCAAACCATAAGAGGCTCTTAACAATAGAGAACAAACTGAGGGCTGACAGAGGGAGGTGGGTGGGGGATGGGCTAAGTGGGCGATGAGCATTCAGGATGGCACTTGTTAACGAAGGGCTCTGGGTGTTGTATGTAAGCGATGAACCAGTGAATTCTACTCCTGAAACCAACAGTGCACTGTATGCTAACTCATTAGAATTTAAATAAAAATTTGAAAAAAAAAAATAAAAAGTGGGGTTACGATGACACCTTAATTGAACAGCTACGAGGTAAAAAGTGCTCTTCCTCTGTAACTATAAATTGTTTAAAAAGAATGAGCTTGGTTCTGTACAACCACTTGCATGTTAGAGCATTCTATGGAGGTGATCCTAGACTTTTAGCTTCTCTGGAATAGGCTCTGAGTCGTACACACTGTTACATCCTTAGGTGTCCATAGTGGTTTGCACATAGAAAGGGTTTAAAGGACACGGGATGCATGTTAATATTGGGGGCTATTTTTTTTTTCTAAACAGTGAACTAATAAGGAAATCCAAGGCTTTTACTGCATGTCACACTGAAAGCTGTCACAACAGCAGCTCTTCTTCACTAATCATCTGGATCACAATCAAATGGGTGTCATCATAATTAAAAGTTCAAAATCCAATTTCCTTTTGCCTGTGCTATCCGCTTCCCCAATGTCCTATTAAGTTCAACAGTTATAAAAACTAATGAAGGAGTTGCAATTCAGAATGCGAATGATTATACACCTAAGATTAAGTGACCTTAAGCCGTGAACAATAAGATGCTTAAAAGGAAGACAATATGGAGATATATGTTGTCATCACTATCAACAAACAGGGGATAAATATGAAATATTAATTGATGAACAACATATTAGATGAGCATTCGCAAGTCTGAAAAGAGCATTCACAAGTAATTTCTCACATCATCAAAATGAGACTACAAGAAATAAAGGGTTACCACACTTACTTAATCAATGAAGAAACTGGTGAGAAGGGAAGTTAAACCTTTAAAAAACGAATCTGGAATTGGAGCCAATTCTCTGCCTCACAAATAAAATAATATCAATTGATAGAGTGAAGAGTTCAGTAGTTCTTCAAAAGTTGATTCCGAATCTTTTTCTTCTGCTGTTATTTTTTATGGGGGATGTGTACGTATCCCAGGAAAGAAAATAAGAAAGAAACATGAAGGAAACATGTAGGATGTCACTAGAGGCATTCAGGATATGACAGATCTTTCCCAAAATGGGATATATTAAAACAATGGGTGACAGTTGATGGCAGTGAGTCACAGAAGTAAATACTGAGGTTTTGTTGGGGTTTGTGCTCCATGAAGTGTTGAAAATGAACCTGCTACCATTATTGGCCTGTACTGCTTATCTAATAAGGATAGGCTAATTCAGTTCCAGCTAATTTATTGACTTCTCACTATGTGCCCATCTATCAATCCCTCATTTAATTTTGTTTTGAAAACTGCGTATTTATTAAAGGCTTACTATATACTAGGGACTTTTCTAGGCAGTGGTGAACAAAGCAGAAAAGGCCTCAGCTCTCAAGGAGTTCATATTCTAGTGGGGAGAAAAACTGTAAACAAAATCTGAACAAACAAGGAATATCAAAGAGTGGTAAGGAAAGAAAAAAAAAAAAAGGCAGGTGAAACAAGTGAAGGTGATCA